GAGGGAAAAATGGAGGGTGAGATTGACAGACAATTAGTGCCACATCTTCAGTAGTGTGAATACTGTGCCCTGTTTGTTGTGGTGAAAAATGAGCTGAGCTGTAAGGTAAATCTCTCTGTTTACTGGTCAGTCTATGTTACCCTCACCTATGATCACAAACTCTGGGTAGTGACCAAAGGAATGAGATCACAGATACAGGAGGTTGAAACGAGTTTCCTCTGCAGGTTAGCTGGACTCTCCCTTAGAGATAAGGTGAGAAGTTCAGTTATCTGGGAGAGACTCGGAGTAGAACCGCTGCTCCTCCAAATCAAAAGGAGCCAGCTGAGGTGGTTCAGGCATCTGGAAAGGATGCTCCCTGGGCGCCTACCTAGGTGCTTCAGGCATGTCCAACTGGGAGGAGACCCCGGGGAAGACTCAGGCTGGAGAGACTCTGTCTCTCGGTTGACCTGGGAATGCCTTGGAGTCCTCCCAGAAGAGCTGGAAAAGGTGGCTGTGGAAAGGGATGTCTGCGCCTCCCTGCTCAAGCTGCTGCCCCTGCGACCCAACCTCGGAACAAGCGGCAGATAACGGATGGATGGATGGATGGATGGATGGATGGATGGATTTAGGTTTACAAAGTTTAAGCTGGATAAAGTGTACTTTGATCAGATGAAAGCAAAGTACAAATGTTTGCCAATAATGTATAAAATTTAGCAAAAAAAGAAAAAGCATGAAAACAAACATGTCATAAATACGGTGAAGAACAGTGGAAGAGGGTAATGATCACCTGGGCAACTTTCTGTCATTGGGTTAACAATGAACTCCTTTGTAGAGCAAAGTATATGAGGCCATGTCCCCAACAGCTAAAACTTGGCCAAAACTGGATCATGTAATAAGACAATGATCACAAATGCACCAGAAATTCTACAACAAACTGGCTTAAAAAGATCCACTGTGTTGCAATGGTCCAGTCAAAGTCCAGACCTCAGTGGAAATGATGTGGTGGGACTTTGCAAAAACATGTCCGAACCAGCAGTGTTGTTCAAAATGTCTGGCCAAAATTCCTCCAAAACAATCTGAGAGATTGAAAAGTCTATACAGAAAACAACTATTTCAAGTCATTGCTGCAAAAAGTATTTCAGCAAGCAATTAAATCATGTGGGGGACTCAGTTTTTCACATGGTGATTTTCCAGTTTGGACTTATTTTTTGTTTGTTTGTTTAATATCTGATGACATGGTGAAATAGGTGAAATATATGCTGTGATCTTTTTGTACACTTCAGATTAGATCTGAATATTTTAGAAAACTGATTATTTTTATTATGACCAGATGCATAAAACTTTAAAATTTAAAGAGGATGGGCTTTCATATTCACATCACTGTAAATGTGTAGAGATGTACTAAATACCGTAAGACATATATATATATATATATTTCAAATGAGAGAAGTCAAAACATTGTGAATTGAAAGATCCATTTAGTAACAGAGTCTGATTAACTTATTCCATTTTTATCTGTAAACATTCTCTGTTAATATGATTGTAACAATTCAGTTGTAAATGTAGCTTGAATAACCTTAAGATGGATAAACCAAGAGTAAAGCCCTGGATTTATTCAGCTCATATGAAAGAATTATGACAATTTTCACTAATCTTGTTCTTGGTTGTTACATTACATCTGGGTTTCTTCAGGGTAACTACACTGAAGTGTGCTACTGAGCTGAGTACAACTCCTGACTGACAACAGAATTACAGCTGAATGCAGGATTGATAGCTACCATAGATATGGTTTCACTGTAATTTAAGATTTATTGAAACTTTAACTGAACACCAAAGTAAATGGCGAATGACATAACAAGCATTTGCAATCTTTAAGTGCAACAATTCATTGGATCTGGAAAATACATGAAGCCATTCTGTGACACTTTCCCAAGTATCTGAGATTCTGTTGCATTGTCACATACACATATAAACAATCATTTTCCCACCATTTGTGTGAATGTATGTAACCATTTGAAAGGTCTAAAGCAGGGCTATTCAAATGGTGGCCCAGAGGCCAATTGGGTGTGCTCAGGTCGGCCCACCAATGAATTAATTTTTAAATAAAACTTGATTTGAAATCGTAAAACAACCTTACTTAATAAGAATAACTGCTGGCTGTCCAGCCCCTGAGCTCTTGTATTTCAGTAACTGTGGCCCCTTGAGTAATTTAGTTCAATAGTGCTGGTCTAAAATGACTTAATAGTTTGCTAGGTAAACTACAAAAAAGATCTGTGAAACTAAACTGTGGTGATTGATATTATCTTTTCATGCTTCTACTTCCATGTCATGGGGGAGCCGGTGTCTACCTCCACCTGTCACTGTGCAACAGACGGGGTACACCCAGGACAGGTATAAGTGCTATATGTTGTCACCGTGAATTAGGACATTACTTCTCTGCATTTAAACCATCACACCTGAGATACACCCAGGTGGAGCATTGGGCAGCTATGTAGGCACCCAGGGAGCAATTAGGGATTGGGTGTCTTGCTCAGTGACACCAACACATGCGAGTGTGGCAGGGAGTCGAACCACGACTTTCTGGTCCCAAGTTGGCTGCCTTACCTCTACCCCATCCCGGCCCCCGTCTATCGCAAAGTCATGCAGAGACAAAAGAGACAACCAACCATTCACTCTTTCAGTCACACCTAGAGACAATTTGGAGTCACCAATTAATCTAATGTGCATGCTTATGGTCTATTGTTTTGATCCTTTAATCTTTTTGTGACAAAAAACTGGCAAAAAAAAATAAACACAAACCTCAGTCTGTGTTAAAATCTAAAGCCCCTTTTGTAATCCTTGACATATGTTGTTTTAGCTATTGAATGGGTATTCCCACCTAACAAAGGGCAGGCTCTTTACTTGAAGTAGTTCCTGCTACATTTAACTGTAATGTAAATGTTACTGGGTTATCCACACAAACACAGCAGCTGACATCTGTGAACCCAAGCAGAAAGCATAGTTTGTTTCTCCAACCTTGTGCACTGAAATATTCAAGAGTTCCCTGCTTATGAGACAGTTACTGCCATCTGTGCCCCCGGGTTCAGTCCCCCTATCATGGCTGAGCATAAGGCCAACATCAGAACAGATATGTGTGAAAAGTGTCAAAATAGATTCTCTGCTGTACTCTGTATGGCAAATCTCAATATTGCCTGAATGGCATAAACAACACTTTTGCTTTTGCTTAAACACGCGCTCAAAAAAGGCCCACACTAAGTTCTGCACCTGTAGAATTAAAATTTCCATATCCATGCAAGAGGAAAGGAAAAGAGGAAACATTTACACAAGGCTGCCTGCACACATTTGAAGCAATCTTTTCTGTTAGGTGTCTTACAATGTCATTGTGGAGCAAGCAAGCTCCTGTAGGCTTCACAAATTTATTGCTAAATGTGAGATTTTTTTCCCCAAGACAAAGAAAAAAATGCGGAGGAGGAAGGGTGCAATCAGTCCAGGTTTGTTCTAGACAGCATCACTTCCTTCCTTACCATCAGGAGAGTGTCAGAGCGAAACATTCAAATGTGGTTTTCACCCAGCACTTTCCCAGGACACTAATGCAGAGCAATTCTAATGGTGTCATTCAAAGCAGCTGCCTTTCTCAGCAATAAACTGAATGCCTTGCCTAAGCAATTCAAACCTCCTCCACAGATTGCAATACAGTCAACAAAGAACTTATCTTTGAAGTGAAACTATTCATCAATGAATGTGTTTGTATGCCAAAAAGAAGAAGGGAGCTTGAAAAGACCTCAGCTACACCTGAATGGCTACTATTACCATTGGACTGCTGTCACTTTCTCACATTAGACAAATTCACCTGTTTTTGTGCGTATCTGTTGTGCCCTTAAGATTCCACCCTGAAACAACCATTTGCAGTACTCATGGCTTGACTGGAAAAAGCAAAATCTGTAGATATCTGCTTTTGAAATGAGCAGTGGTGGCTTTTAGTCAGGAGGAAAAACTTTGTTTTCATGAGTCAAAAGCCCACCAGAACTAAATGGCAAAGAGTGCCGTTCATTTTCTTCACAGAGAAAAGGGTCATTAGTCCATGACAGATGTCAAAGAACCAAAAATAGTTGCTTTATCACTTATCTTCAAAGGCCCCGTGCCGAATGTGACCAAAGCACAAAAAGCTCCAGAATTCTGTTTGTAAGGCCGTTTTATACAATGCCACAATTATTGGTCGAGGAAATTGTGTTTTAAGGAAGCTTGTTCAGAAATGTGCACAACAAACTGCAAGTTCAACTCTTTATAAATGAAACGTGGTAAATTCTATGGATCTGTGTTTTAAAGAGAATAGACGAAAGGCCAAACAGTTTAAAAGGACAATGAATAAAAAGGAATCTTTAGAATTTGAATTTCAATGGCAATAATTATTGAGTTGACCCAAACATTTTTTTTAAAACTGTGTTTCCTTTTATTTGCACAATAACTCAATGACACGACCCTAAAGAATCAGCGCTGAAAGTGAAATTCAGAGGCTTGAGTTGAGGCTGCTTTAGCTGTAAAAGCCTTGAGGAATTTCAGATGTTTAGGCCAATCCCTGAGATGGTCGGTGGAAGACACTCAGCACAGGAATATGTGCGTGTGTAAAATTGTAAACCTTCTCTGCGGAAGGGGGGGGGGGGGTTCGTCCTTCAGTGAACTGGGCCTGTGTTGTTCAGGCCTGTGTTTACATAGCCTCCTGTATGTGTTCGAGGGAGAACAATGCCATGGACGGTACAAAAATGGCAACACAAATCAGTGTCGGCAACGCAACAAAAACGTGATGAACCGCTGCCAAAACGTTTCTCTTCTGTATAATTTGGGCTGAATGAAGTCCTACAGGACGGTGTACGTTACTGCGTGATCAGTATAGAGGCCAGGCTGCGTGTTTTTGAAAGCAGATTAAAGATCAGGACAGGAAGGGCCAGGTTTAGGGAAACAGGAAAACTGATGCAAGGAAGTTGTGCACGTCACCAGCCAGCCCACTGCAGTCTGGGCTGAAAGTGTAATCCAGACCCAAAGAAAGTATGGAGCCTTTGCTCAAGTCACCGATGAAACTCATACTTTTTACAGGTACGTGAACTTGTGTACTTTATGGCAGATCAGGAGTTTTATAATAGGGGCACATCTTAAAATACATTTATGAGGCTTCTGATTTATAATTAGTTCAAATAGCTCAAGCTTGGTGTTTTTGATCAGAACAGAACTGCTTATTTTTTAGTGCAACATAAGCTTCAACCCAAACTTTTAGGAACTGACTCATTGGAAAATGCCACTGATATAAAAATGTAGGAAATGTGAGAAGTATTTTGATACGCTGAAGTCACAAGAAGGATCTTCATGAGTAGAGTGAACTTAAACTGTGTGTATGTTTTTCTCTCACAGCATGGCTCTGGAGTCTGACGGACACGGGCCACCTCTCTGATATTTGTGATATCTGTCACCAAAACGCAACGTGTAAAGCCCTGAATGGATCAAACTACGGCTGCTTTTGTAACCTCGGATATACAGGCGATGGAGCACATTTCTGCAATGGTATATACAAATACACTTGGATACCAACACATAAAACTGTAGCTAAACAATCTTTGTGGAAAACCCACTCTATATTTGGAAGTTATTGGTATTATAACGCAAGTTATTTGCCATTTTTTTTAAGGTTAACGTTTATTTCTTTTAGCTCTTCATGTGTCCCCAGATATGGTGAAGCTTGTTAAGCTGCATGTTTAACATATACATTAAAAAGAATAAAACACAATATGTGTTCATTTACAGTAATAAGTCTTGCTCAGATGAAACATTTTACATTTTTCTTTGTCTTTTTTTTTTTTTTTTTTACCTGAAAACATTAAAACCGAGCGAGTTTGGTCAATTTTAGTCTGTAAAAAAAAAAAAAAAAGCATCAGAAGGTTAAATACTTTCCTTCCTGAATTCACCTTTCGAACTGTAAGGAATGGTCATGTTGGTTGAATTATTTATTTGTTTGGTCATAGCAGTACACAAAAAATTACATTTGGATTTTAACAAATCCGTAATGAGGCTGTAAAAATGGGTATTATTCGCCTGCATTGCCTTTGGTTGACATTGTTTTTCCTGTTATGTTTCTGGGCTGGAGTTCTTTCCCCTTGTGTGTGTGTGTGTGTGTGTGTGTGTGTGTGTGTGTGTGTGTGTGT